GTCTTCTTTTCTTTCTGGGGCATGGGGTGACTGCTTGGGCCGACTATGTATAGGGTCGAGAGCCTGGGACAATGTATCATAGTTTTGCGGGACAATTTTGGACTGCCTATATGGGGTATCTATGTATTGAGAAAAGACTTGTGTAATTGGCTTTGTATGGACCTGAGAAAAAGGGGTCTGGCAAGGTGCCAGAGGAAAAAGGACTTGTGCAATTCACTTGCATGGGCTTGAGAAGAAGGTCTGGCAAGGTGTCCGGAAGAGAGATGCATGAGGGATGAACTGAGTATTGCACATGGAAAGTTAATTAAGCAAGGGGAAAGAAATGACAAAGGGTGATATGCATGCGAAATTGGCTGGCCTAGGAAAAAGCCGGGTGAAATGACCCGGGAGAAATATATGTGGATTTTGCTAGGCCCGAGCCTCGGGGAAGAGTGACGAAAAACATGGATTGCATGGGCCGAAGGACCCGAAGGAAAGAGGCATTGAAAACATGGATTGCACGGGCTGAAGCGAGGGAAGGAAAGAGACATTGAAAACATAGATTGCACGGATCGAAGGACCCGAAGGAAAGAGGTATTGAAAACAAGGATTGCACGGGCCGAAGGACTCGAAGGAAAGAGGCACTGAAAACATGGATTGCATGGGTCAAAGGACCCAAAGGAAAGAGACATTAAAAACATGGATTGCACGTGCCGAAGGACACGAAGGAAAGAGGCATTGAAAACATGGATTGCACGGGTCGAAGGACCCGAAGGAAAGAGGGAATTGAAAGCATGGATTGCACGGGCCGAAGGACCCAAACGAAAGCGGTGTTGAGGATGATGGTAGCCAAAAATGAACCTGGCCGGCATGAGATGAGAAAAAAAAAAAACCCGACGAAGATCCCTTGACTCCCCATACCCTCCTCCACCCCAAGAGCGGAAAATTAAAGAAAACCCTGAGAAAGGAACGGGAAAGGACAAAAGGAACCCTGACAAGCTAACTACCCGTCTCACCTCACCCCTTCTTCCCTCCGTTTACATCCCCAAATCCTTACTAGTTGAGGACTGGTGCGCGATGAGGACATCGCGAATGAGTGGGGGGAATGTGTCGGGACTAGTGGGTCCCGAATAACATCCCGCCACTCGAGAGACTGTATATGGCTGGTTTCTACACAGCACAGAAAATCGGAGGCAAGAAGAACGGGAAGTGTTCAAGCACTGGTATCAGGGGGCATGGAAGTTGCCCGGGTCGTCAGTGCCACAGGGCCACGAAAAAGATTAGCGGAAGGGCAAGCGGCAGAGGGCCGCAAAAAAATAGTAGATGTGGCCCTTCTCCCCCGAGGAGGAGAAGGACCGTCGGAAAATGTAATGTCATAGGATGTGTACCACAGGGAGAAAATAAATCAAGAAAATTGAGAAGATTAGCCGGGCCAAGAGGGCCGCCCGGAAGCAGCACCGAGTGGTCCAATGAGCCATGAGCGGGTGAGGAGCCACGACAAGAAGAGCGGTGCACGGGATACGAGAAGGACAAGGGGAGGAGGCCGCCATAAGGCGGAAAAATGACAAAGGTGTCGGGGCCCACCAGCGGGACAAAGTGTCAGGGGCCACCGGTGGGACAAAGTGTCGGGGACCACATGGGACTAAGTAAAAGATGAGGTAACAAGTACTGGCAGGACCGCTAGCGGGACAAGAGTCGGCGGGACCACCGGCAGGACAAGTACTGGCAGGACCGCTAGCGGGACTCGTGTCGGGGACTAGTGCGGAACAAGTCGCGGGGACTTGTGACGTCCCAAGGAAAAATGGTGGCGCGACACGTGGTGCGAATAATTAAAGCAAGTTGCACCGTCAAGATCGGAGATCTTGACGACCAAAAATATTCACACCACTAGTGGGAGCAAGTGAGAAGGTCAAAAGAAAAATAAAAAGTAAAAGAAACAAGTGTTAGAGGCATGGGAGCAATCCGAAAAATCTCATTTTGGCTTCCCCCAAGAAAAAGGAGCCAAAAAAGACTCCGTGTGAAAAATAGGTCTCCGGGAGAAAATCGGAGTATGGGGGCCTAGCGTTTGGAAGAAAGAGAGGCAAACGGAGGCTCCCAAGGGCATGGAAAGGCCACAAGTGTAGTCCAAGAAACAACAGACTGACCCTTGGGCATAGGAAGGGCCAAAACTAAGAGGAAGGGCCTAGAAAAGGACCTTAACGACCACTTGACACTTGACATGCAAATAAAAAGAAAGAAAAGAAAACGAAAATATGGGAGAGTAAGACAAGAAGGGTGAGAGGGAGTGAGTGAGTTGGCCGTCAGTAGGGAATGCCACAAGTGGGGACTAGTAGGTCCCTACTGTCCAAGAAAGGAGGAAAAAGAAAAGAAAAGAAAAGAAAAATAAGAAAAGGGTCTTAACGGCTAGTTGACACTTGACATGCAAAAAGAAAAAGAAAAGAAAAAAAAAATGAGAGGTGAGAGAGGATGAGTGAGTTGGCCGTCAGTAGAGACTGCAGCAAGTAGGGACTGGCAAGTACCTACTGTCCACAAGTGGGAGGGAAAAGAAAAGAAAAAAAAAAGAAAAAAAAAAACAGAAAAGAAAAGAAAAGTCAAAAGGGCACTAACGGTAAAAAACGGTTATTTGGGAAGGTGCATCCGTTACCAGATTCATTCTGGAATATGGCGGTTAGAAAGGACCTTGATTTTTCTTTATTTTTGAAGAGAAAATCAAAGAAAAATCAAGGCCCTTGAACCGAAAGATAACGGATTGCCTTGGGGAGGCCAAACACATGTTTGGGTGCACCGAAAGCCAAAATGAAGACCGGATGCTCTTGGAAGTTGACCGCTCCCTTTTCTTTCAGTTAGGGGCTAGTTATGGGGCATTGGGACAAGGAAAATAGCCCCTACTGCAATCAGAGTTGCATCGGACAGCATGGGGAGGGGCAAACATATACTTTGAGTGCTCCGGGAGCCAACATTGAGTCCGGAAGCACTTTGAAATTTAACGCTGCATTTTGTTTTAGCATGGGGCATGTTGTGGGGTTGTGGGACTAGGGAATTGGTTGAGGCTGCAGCCCGAGAAATAACGGACTACAAAGGGATGCCTAGGCTAAGAGAAAATGAGTCGCGGCACTCTCAATGGACTAGAAAACGACACCGTGGGCATATGGGAGTATAACGGCAAATGGTGACGGCAAGGCGGGGGTCTCGCGACCGGGAAAATAATTGGCACGCTTGAGGCACGTAGGAATGATGAGATGGGACTGTCAAGGACATGGGGAGTCCCAAATAAAAATTGGGCATCGACCGGGATGACGCCGGGGACCAAATGGACCCAAATAAAAATTGTTGAAAATTGGGCTTTGTCGACGGCGCCGCCGGCGGGACGAAAAAATG